ATGCTCTTCTTATCATTTTTGTCAAAGAATTGATGGACACAGAGGACCTGAGTGTTGAAAGTTTCATATACATACATCTTGTGGTGATTGTTATAAACATTTTTCATTTAGAGACTGTTTGTACCCTAATTCACATGGAATCTGGTTTATAAATTTACTCTTTTACCTTATTTTAATGCCCTTTTTCATAAATACTTTTAGAGAAAAGACATACTAGCATTTATTAATCATCTGAAGGTCTGTGTTAATTCACTACTTGGGTGGAATGAGCAAAGGATAATTAAAACAAGCACACCTAGAATTAAAGGGCAAGGAACAGGTGAATGACACCTTCTAGGTACTGTTTTATCCTCAAGTACATCGTCTGTTTTAATCTAGGCTAAGAAATGCATTCAATATGTGTCTGAAAAAATTTATCAGTTCTGATCTTTTCCCCCCAGTAATATGAAAACAGATGCTGAAGTCTATTAGCTGTATATAGGTTTGTCTTTTATTCCTTACATTTGGAAAAAATGATTTTCTAAAAACTCTCTTCACTTAGTCAACCTATGACATATCTCGGCTATGCTTGCAAGATGAGATAAGACAGTGAAAATCTTCTTGTATGCGGAAAGGTAACTGTAAAGGACAGTTTCTGTAGCTCAGTGAAGTGATACTCATTTTGCCGTCTCTTACTGAGATACAGAATACTCAAGGAACAAGAAGTCATATGTGTTATCTAGCAAGGTGATCACAGTTTGTATGTCCTTTACTTGATCTTACTGTGCAATCCATTCTAGTCATTTGAAGAACTCTTTACTGCATGTCATGTGTGAACAGGAGAAAAGAAGATCACTTCTTTGAGGGGATTTGATGTTCTTGTTTGAGATTACAGCATTTTATATCTTGCAGAGAAAGAACCTAAAAATACCTAAAACTCCATTTTTTTTTTTTTTAGTCTGGTTGGCTCTGTCTGTTACCAAACTGCCAAAACCTGTTTATGAAATCAAGGAATACCAGGACCTTAATGGGAAGTTTTATTGCTTAATTTTGTCTAGTAATTTAACTTCCTGTTGCTATTAATTAGGCGCTAGTCTAAAATAACTTGAACACAGTCTGCACATAGAAGAAAACTACTTGCTTTTATTGTTTTAACATTTTGCCTCCAAGGTTTTGATGACAGGCAAATGCCTCTGACAGTTAGGAGATGAACAAATGCTAATAAGAAGCCTCGTTTTTAGCTTCTACTTTCCTATCTCTCATGACTTCTTTCGCTTCTTGGTGGTTGTTGGCTTTTATCTTCTGCTTTGTGGTTCTGGTCGGTCTTTCCTTTTCCCTTAAGATAAGACACTGAAGTGCTTTCTGTAGTCCCCTTCAAGAATATGTAGTGACATTATAGAGCATCAAAGACTGATACTGAATCTGCTTTACTGTTGCTCATAATTATTAGGCAAGATTGAGGAAGCATTTTGTCTTTTGAGGATTCGCAAACTTGTAGAAATTATGGTATTTCCCAGAATTTGTGTTGAATATAATAATCTAAAAGTGTACTGCAATCTTACAGAAATACACTCTGTTGCTATCCAGTTCCAGTAAGTCATTTGTTCTGTTTTCTAGTGGTAATCATCAGAAATCTAATACCTTGTTCTCCAGTGTTTTAGTTCTATTATTTGCTGCATACATCAACTCTTAATTTTTGGGTGTGGATGAATGCAGGTGATGAACATCATTAAACCTTCTCTCTCATAAGAACAGCTTCTTTATTGAAAGAGTTCAGCTTCGTTATTTTCCATGCTTGTTTGTTAGGTAGATTTGGAAGTAGTGTGGTATTAAGAAAAAGAAGCGGCTCAGAGTATGACTTCAGGGAATGAGCACATGTATAGATGAGCTACCAATGAAGGCTGTCTGTTTGTCTTACATCAGTAATAAAAGAATATAAACAAAAAAAACCCTGTAAAACAGAATTCTCTCAGTACCTTAGGTACTTATAAGAAACTTTTAGGAATGCTTTTTCTGGGGCAACAAAGACTATTTACATCAAAATTGTAGTAGTAATTATTAAACCAATGCTATATCCTGTCGTGATACACTACAGAAAAATCCTACAGATTGAGGTTAAAGACAAAAGCTTCTCCAGGGCAGTGATAAAACAGCTGAAGAGTTCATGCGAGTACATTCCTGAGCACTGTACCAAGGATCTGCCCAGAACAATCTCTCAGAGAGATTTTAATTAATGCAATAAAAGATAACAGTTAAATGGAACAATATTTTCATTGTTCAGAGCTGAAGCTTAGTTTCTGGTCTTAAAGGATGTGTGTGCAGTCTAGTTTGTATACTTCTGTGGAGAGTTAAGTTGCCATATCTGATCAGACATTACAGAAAAGAATACTCCCCGTTTTCTTGATAGCAACATGTAACCACTTGGGTCATAACATGTATTTTCAAAGTGCTGTGAAAATGGAAGTAATCTGATTTAAAGGTTGTGTGTTCCACCAACAGTGCAAAGGAAAATAAATGACTAGGGCACACAGCTTCATATGTTGTAAAATGAAATATATAATGGCTACAAGATACTTTTCACTATCACTCTGGAAATACACAAATGATAATTTTGTCCTGTTCTGTTGTCACTTGAGATAGCAGTAATGCTTCTGCAAGTTTTCTGTGGCTTTCTATTCATGTAAGGAGCACTGGCAATTTTATATTCATTGTATATGAAAGAATTAACAGTTAATATTCCTATTACTGCTTTATGATGATCTTAAATAGTAAGCAGTATGTGCAAGCTGTCAAGAAAATTTAAGAGGATTTGGCAATTTTAAAGTCCTCAGTGTTTTGACATGTGCAAGTAGCTTTTGCTTTTCCTCAGTTCTCTATAAAGGCTATCCACTTAGCAACTTCTTGGATGATTTTTAGGGGGTTTAATTGTCTTCATGTGTTGACATTTTCTGTAGATTTGGTAATTGGAAATTATTTTCATTTCACCACTTGATTTTCTTCTAGTTAGTTATTTGGAGGAAGGCTGTCCTGAATGTGGCTAATTTTTCTTCTTCTTATGAAGGAAAACAGTACCTGAATTTTACTCATTTTAGAGAGATTTTTATTCTTCCCTGACATTTTGACTTTTTGCAAGGATTGATGAGGGAGGTATTTTTGCACTCAAAGTTAACTATGCAATACTGACTTATGGGATTTTGCACATGTGTTTTAGGTAGAATGTGGACTCTGTGTTTTGTAGTAATATTGAATTATATTGATAAACTTCAGTATCTAGAAACCAAGTTTAGTGAATTTTGCAGGCATTCTCCTTACTGATATTGTGCAAATAAAAGAGGTTACTCTGTCAGGAAGTACTTTGAAGTGGTGCTTTTTCCTCTAAGCCACATAGTCATACTTCAGGGGTGTTGCCTGCAGAGTTAGTTCGGTAGCTGGCTTATGACTGAAATGTGATCTCAGGAAATCAAGCACTTATAAAGAAACCTTTTCAGAAACCCTTCCTTAAAACAACTGTATTCGCTGATGCTGGCAGTATGATACATTTAGCATTCTGTTAAAATGATGAGGTGAATCGTTATAACAAATTGGATGTATAGATCAGGTAAGCAAGAAATTCAGAATGAAGTTTTGAACCTTACAAACTGCCCACAGTCCAGACACATGTCCCCTCTCAAATCTGAGCAGTCCAGCTCCCATCGGTATTGGCAAGAGCACTGCATTTCAGCTTTGTGCCTTGCATCTGGAGAAAGAAGTGAAATCTTGCATTATCTCATAGGAAGGCGTAGGGTCAAGCAATGAATCTTACCTGCGCTCAGAGCATCTCCACAAGCTAAATCATGTTATTGGCTTGTGGTAGATGCCAGATTCTAGGTAACTCCAGTCTGTCATTTCTAAGGAATCAAGAAAATGTCCTGGCATGACTGATTGCATTACCTTGCTCCTGTGATCTTTCTTCCCTC